ACAACAAAGGGCGATTAATCAAGTCCAACAAAGGGTTTTACAACAAGCATTACAAGGAGCTCTGGGAACTCTGAATAGGTGCTTAAACAACGAGTTACATTTACGTATGATCGCTGCTAATATTGGTATGTTTGGGGCGATCAAAGAAAAAAATAACTAATTAGTGGTTCTACTATAATAGAGAGTATGGAGAGGCCCTATTTTTGTTTTTTTTCGAAAAAGAATCCAATTAATAAAAATATTCATGGTACCCATTCGTGCAGATGAAATTAGTCAAATTATCCGTGAACGGATTGAGCAATATAATACCGAAGTAAAAATTGTAAATACAGGTACCGTACTTCAAGTAGGCGATGGCATTGCTCGTATTTATGGTCTTGATGAAGTAATGGCAGGTGAATTAGTAGAATTTAAAGAGGGTACAGTAGGCATTGCTTTGAATTTGGAATCCAAAAATGTTGGTGTTGTATTAATGAGTGATGGTTTGATGATACAAGAGGGAAGTTCCGTAAAAGCAACAGGAATAATTGCTCAGATACCAGTAAGTGAGGGTTATTTGGGTCGTGTTGTAAATGCCCTAGCTAAACCTATTGACGGTCGAGGAGAAATTTCAGCTTCGGAATCTCGGTTAATTGAATCTCCCGCTCCCGGTATTATTTCCAGACGTTCCGTGTATGAGCCTCTTCAAACGGGACTTATTGCTATTGATTCTATGATCCCTATAGGGCGTGGCCAGCGAGAATTGATTATTGGGGACAGACAAACAGGTAAAACAGCAGTAGCTACAGATACGATTCTCAATCAACAGGGACAAAATGTAGTATGTGTTTATGTAGCTATTGGTCAAAAAGCATCTTCTGTGGCTCAAGTAGTAACTACTTTATAAGAAAGAGGAGCAATGGAATACACTATTATAGTGGCTGAAACAGCAAATTCCCCAGCTACATTACAATACCTCGCGCCTTATACAGGCGCAGCTCTGGCTGAATATTTTATGTACCGTGAACGTCACACTTTAATCATTTATGATGATCCCTCCAAACAAGCACAGGCTTATCGCCAAATGTCTCTTCTATTACGAAGACCACCAGGTCGCGAAGCTTATCCCGGAGATGTTTTTTATTTACATTCGCGTCTTTTGGAAAGAGCCGCGAAATTAAGTTGTCAGTTAGGTGAAGGAAGTATGACTGCTTTACCAATAGTTGAGACCCAAGCCGGAGATGTTTCAGCTTATATTCCTACGAATGTCATTTCCATTACAGATGGTCAAATATTCTTATCTGCCGATTTATTCAATGCTGGGATCAGACCCGCAATTAATGTGGGTCTTTCCGTTTCTAGAGTTGGATCGGCGGCTCAAATAAAAGCCATGAAACAAGTCGCTGGTAAATTAAAATTGGAATTAGCACAATTCGCAGAATTAGAAGCTTTTGCACAATTCTCTACCGATCTTGAGAAAACTACGCAAAATCAATTGGCAAGAGGTCAACGATTGCGCGAGTTGCTTAAACAATCCTAATCATCTCATATTACTGTGGAAGAACAGATAATAACTATTTATACTGGAACGAATAGTTATCTTGATTCATTAGAAATTCAACAGGTAAGGAAATTTCTCGTTAAGTTACGGGCTTATTTAAAAACGAATAAACCGAAATTCAACGAAATCATATCTTCGACCAAGACATTTACTGGGGAAGCAGAAGCCATTTTGAAGGAAGCTATTCAGGAACAGATGGGACTCTTTTTACTTCAGGAACAAGTAGAAAAAAATTAATTCCAAATTTCATACCTTTCTAGATAATTAGTCTCTTTCCATATTTCAAAAAGAATAATAAAGAGAAGAAATTCACAATATAGTTTTCGAAATATACGAATTCAAGTAATATATATGCAATTGCAATAAATTCAATATGTAATAAATTTGCGTCCAATAGGATTCGAACCTATACCAAAGGTTTAGAAGACCTCTGTCCTATCCATTAGACAATGGACGCTTTTCTTTTTTTCTTTCCCTTTTCACGAAAATTTCGTGAAAAGGGAAAGAAAAAAAAGAATTCTATAAAATACTCCTCCATCTATCTGAATATCGAAATAATAATTATTCTAAATTCTAAATAGAATAAGACGAAATGAAATCATTCCAATTGAATATTCATAACTAAAACTAACTAAATAAATTTACTAAATAAAAAATAGAATAGAATATATAGAGAAATAGAATATAAGCGGGTAGCGGGAATCGAACCCGCATCATTAGCTTGGAAGGCTAAGGGTTATAGTCGACGTTTATGAATGAACGTCTCTAATTCAAAACCGAACGTGAAACTTTTGTTTCATTCAGCTCCTTTACAGAATAATTTTAGAGATAGATGGAATACATGAAAAAAAATGACCCATAACATCTATGTCAGCCTTTCGGTATGAATAGAATTCACGTTGCTTTTTAGATGATCCCTATAGAAAGAAAAGGAGTATTTGAACAATCTCTTTTTTTTCTAGTTACTTCGTTCTCTATTTCTATTTGATAGAATCTTTAGGAAAAGAATAAAATTTTCGTCGAGCTAAAAAAATATATTGATGTTTCTAGTAAACTAAAAAAATTGTTTAATAGCTATTTTGCTTCACTCTCTCCTATACAAAAAAAATAAAAAAAAATGGGAAGATTTAGTTACGATTGGAAACTAATTTTAGATATCTTTCTCCCTGGATCCTTTACTTATATTCAAAAATTGGGATTCTTGTGCAAAAACTTATGTTTCATAATTTTAGAATAAATTCTAAATTGTATACAAATTACGATAATGTATATTATTCCTCGAATTGCTCGTTGAGAGGTATAAAGGATGAAATCCCTAAAAGTAAGAAATAAAGTTTTTGATCGTGATATGAATCACGAAAGGGACCCCTTAACTATTAAGGGATCGTTAGAACGAATCGCACTTTTACCACTAAACTATACCCGCTACAATACCATTTTTGTATATAAAAAGATCTTTTGTCGAACAAGGGAATCAGTCATAAATAATTCTGAAATAGGTGCAGAATTTTATGATAAATAGAGTGTTTACATGTTTCGTAAAGGCCCCCTAATGAAATTTAGAAAAGGGGACAAATCTCATTTTTGGATTTTATTTTTGGATTTTGTTGAAGGTATTTTGACAGATAGATCTCGACAAAATTACTAAACTAAATTCATAACACAAAAATGCATTATGCAATGCAAGAATCCATAGTTCTATTTCGTTTTTTAGATACGTTACCTGATTCATTCGTATGAGATACGATCACAAAGTTATTTTTATTTTTGTTTGATCATATTAAAATGTTTGAATTAATTAAAAGTTTGTTTCAAATCTGATACAGAAAAATAAATCGTTGTTATCCAGGATTCATGGGAAAAAAGAGTTGTGCCAGTACCTAGCTGGACTCTGGTTGGATAAAAAAACAAACTAAAAAAGAAAATATAAAATTATAGATTTAGATTATCTATTTAGTATAATGGTTTATATCTATTTAGTATAATTATTTATTACTATCGTATTTAGTATATATATATATATATATACAATTAATATATAACTCAATCTATATTTATGAGTTAATATAGAATTAGAATCAAATAGAAAAAAGATAGATAAAATATATCAAATGAAGATCCATATCAAATAAATATTGAAGCCTTTTTTCGAGCCCTGCGAGGTATCATAAGCATAATAATTCCATTCTTTGAATTGGGGAGAGATGGCTGAGTGGACTAAAGCGTCGGATTGCTAATCCGTTGTACGCATTTTTGTACCGAGGGTTCGAATCCCTCTCTTTCCGTTTATTGATGATTTGCCATTTTTTCCTTTTGAACTTATGGAATTTCTTTTTTTTTATTCCCTGTTTGTTTCATTTTTTACTAGTTCTTTTTGACTAGTTAAAGATCGAAAATAGATAGAAAAACAAAAAATAGTTCAAAATCAAGCACAAGTAAGGGAAAGAAAAAAGATTTTCTTATTCTTCACGTCCAGGATTACGTCCGGGATCATTAGATAGAAATCCGAAGATGAAAAGAGAAACAAAGAATATCACTATCGTGTAAACAAATAGTTTTAGAGTAAGCATTACAAAATCTCCAAGATAATTAAAAAAAAAAACGACAGAGAAAGAGAATAGATTCTCTTCTATTTCATATTATGTTTCCTTAAAAAAGTTCCAATTTGAGTTTTCTAATAAATTCTTACTTTTTTTAGGACATTATTCAAATGAAAGATCTTATCGAAAACTTACAGCAGCTTGCCAAACAAAAGCGAAGAGAAAAAAGAGTAAGGGTATTACTGGCATAAAATCTACAATTGGAGTCAAAAAAGCATAAGCTTCAGGTAATTTCCCCAAGAAAAAACTACTTGAATAAAGGACAGAGTTAATACAGACCAAGCTAAAGATATGAAGCATAAAAAAAAATGTTGTTCTTTAATAAAATGAATTGTATTTTTGCTTTTTTTTTTTTGAATTCTAATTTTTTTATTTTTTATTATCTTACTTATTATTATATATATTCTTATATATATAAGATATGATTTATTATATATATTATTTAATATCCACTTTTTTTTTATACTTTTATATTAAAAATGAAATCTAAAAGAAAAAATAAATATGGTCTAACTTGACAAAAGTAAATATCTATATAGAATAACAAATGGGGCGTGGCCAAGTGGTAAGGCAGCGGGTTTTGGTCCCGTTATTCGGAGGTTCGAATCCTCCCGTCCCAGATGATATCGATTCAATTCATCACATTGACATGAATCGATATCATAGGTTTTTCGCCATAAACCAAAAATAAAAAAGGCTGTTCTTGGATGGGGATATATTGTTCATTCATATAACTTTCAATTACTTATTAATTATTAAATAAATTAATATACGAATTAAAATTAAATTTGATAACTATTCGATAAAAAACAATGACTATTCATTATATAATATTTTAATTTAAAAAGGAATAAAAATCTATGGAAAGACAAGGGTTCAATTCGATGCTGTTTACTAGAGGTATGCTGTTTACTAGAGGTTTAGAATACAGGTGTGGTTTAAGTAAATCAATAGATAGTTTTGGTATAGATAGTTTTGGTCCTATTGATGAAAATAACGGTGGAGACCCATCTAGTTTAACTGATATGCATAATAACATTCATAGCTGGAAGAACAATAGTGAAAATTGTAGTTATAGTCATGGTCATGCTGACTATTCAGCAGATGTGAACAACATACATAATCATAATTTGCTATTTGCAAAAAGTCTATCCGTTTGGGATAGTCATAATAATAGTTATGACATATATTATGCTTATAATGATGATAGTTGGACTTATAACATGAATTGTTGCATTTGGAATTATCTTCGTTCTCAAATCTGGGAGGATATTGACAAATCCATTAATTGTTGCATTTGGAATTATCTTCGTTCTCAAATCTGGGAGGATATTGACAAATCCAATGCCAGTTACCGTGATATGGACTTTAAGAGTTACATTTGCGATAGGGGCCAAAATACTAGTGAAAGCCATAGTACAAATATAATAATATTAAGGAACACAAATGCTAGAAATCAGACAGCAGATCCAGATGATGCAGATATATCTGATGGATCAGATATATCAGATCCATTGGAGATAGATCTATCTGATCCATCCGATACAGATTATCGATACGATCCATTTGCTGATACATCAGATATATCAGATCCATTGGAGATAGATCAATCTGATCCATCAGATACAGATTATCCATATTATATAGATGGATCTGATATATCAGATCCATTGGAGATGGATCTATCTGATCCATCAGATACAGATTATCCATATTATATAGATGGATCTGATATATCAGATCCATTGGAGATAGATCTATCTGATCTATCAGATACAGAGGAGGATCTATATGGTATATACGATCTAGATGAGATCTATTATCTGGATGGATCAGATAGATCAGATCCATTGGAGACATTGGAGACATCAGATCCAGATTATATAAATGATCCGGATGGATCAGATAGATCAGATCCATTGGAGACATCAGATCTAGATGAGATCTATTATCCGGATGGATCAGATAGATCAGATCCATTGGAGACATTGGAGACATCAGATCCAGATTATATAAATGATCCGGATGGATCAGATAGATCAGATCCATTGGAGATATCTGATACATCAGATACAGATATATGTCAGAAGGATAGTGATGATAATAGCAAAATGGATATGTTGGCTAAAATGAACCAATATAGTCATTTATGGGTTCTATGCGAAACTTGCTCTAGCTTAAATTTTAAACAATTTTTAGTAGCCAAACTGAGTATTTGCGAATACTGTGGTGAGCATCTGAAAATGAGAAGTTCAGATAGAATCGAACTTTTGATTGATCCAGGTACTTGGAATCCTATGGATGAAGACATGGTTTCTCTGGATCCCATTAAATTTGATTCGATTGAAAAAATTCCAATTCTTCAATGGGATCCCATTGCATTCGACTTGATTTTCGTGGATCCTCCCGAGGAAGAGGAAGAGGAAGAAGATCAACCTTATATCGATCGTCTTGATTCTTATCAAGAAAAGACAGGATTACCAGAAGCGGTTCAAACAGGCATAGGTCAACTAAATGGTATTCCTTTAGCAATAGCTGTTATGGATTCTGAGTTTATCGCGGGTAGTATGGGATCCGTAGTGGGTGAGAAAATAACTCGGTTGATCGAATATGCTACCAATCAACTTTTACCTCTAATTATAGTCTGTGCTTCCGGAGGAGCGCGTATGCAAGAAGGAAGTTTGAGCTTAATGCAAATGGCTAAAATTTCTTCTGCGTTATATAATTATCAAATAAATAAAAAGTTATTTTATGTAGCGATACTTACATCTCCGACTACTGGTGGGGTAACCGCTAGTTTTGCGATGTTGGGGGATATCGTTATTGCGGAACCAAACGCAACCATTGCATTTGCGGGTAAAAGAATGATTGAACAATTGTTGAATGTGGAAGTGCCTGAAGGTTCCCAATCGGCGGACCTTTTATTCGACAAGGGAGTATTGGATTCAGTCGTACCACGTCATTTTTTAAAGCAGTTTTTAATGGAGTTATTTCAGTTCCATGGTTTCGTTCCTTTGACTAAAAATTTGGAAGATTGAATAAAATTTTAAACTTAGTTTTACGTTATTTTGCACTAAGAATCTATTTTTTATTTCCGCCTTTTTGTAACTAGTTTGTAGCTAATACCTTATTTTACACTATTTTATTTAAACTAATTTAGACTAAGAATATCCTTTTTATTTCTCCTATTTTGTAACTCTGATATATAGACTATGGATCTAAAAGACTTGAAAAGATTTTTGAAAAACCTGTGGATCTGGAAAAAAAGACACTGTAAAAGATTTTTGAAAAACCTGTGGATCTGGAAAAAAAGACACTGTATTATTATTACAGTGACACATATTTTCCTGCATGGAACTTACCTTTTAAGTATATTAAAAGTAATAGTTCTTCTCCTAGAAAGAAGCCGCCCGTATCCGCCACACATCCTGGTGGATTTATTTATTTTATGTTTTGCGGCCTTTCTTTTTAGGAATATCTTTTTCGTTTTGTTTTTTTATTTCCTTAGAACAATTTTGGATTATTTACTTCAAATGATCCGTGAATTCATTAAGGACGAGACAAACAAAAAAGTTTTATGTTCCTATGTGTCAGAAACTACTTGGATGGACACTATCCCGGGTTTCCAACACGTTTTTTTTCGAATTTTAAGTCATGTCAGTTTTTTCGTGGGATTCTTTTCTCTCTATCGTTTCTATAGCAATCTTACTCGGATGAACATTTTCGATGCACCGATTAAATGGCTCTTTGTGCTACCAAATAAGATTGTTTCTCTGCTTATCACTGCAATTGTCAGTATCCTAAGCGGTATCATGTTTCAATATATTAATTATTGGACTGTAATTGGCGGAACTAATTTTTTCGATAAAAGAAAAGGAGTGCTATATATTACTCGTTACAGACTTCCTATTCCTGGAATAAGTAGCTCTAATGTTCGCCGCATTTTAATAAAATAAATTTCGTGCCTCATACTAGTAACTAACCGAATCTGGGGTGATGTCCTTTATATTGAAACCAGAAAACACGGGACCTTGCCGATGACTCCTACTAAAGATGGTCGTAGATATATGCTTGCAAAACATGCTTTGGAGTTGTCCAGATTCTTGAATATACCATTGGACATTATTTACAAAGAATACTAATAAAAAAGCGAGTTTAGCCGATCGAGTTTAGCCTATAAAGCGAGTTTAGCCTATAATAATTAATATATTATAGGCTAAACTCGCTTTTTTATTAGTATTTACTTGTAATAGAACTTATGTTTGATAGAAATATTAGAATATATAGAATATTCTAGAGTTGAAAAATGAGATGAAACTGAGGACGAAAAATGGCAAAAAAGAAAGCATTCATTCCCCTTCTATGTCTTACATCTATAGTCTTTTTGCCCTGGTGCATCTCTTTTACATTTAAGAAAAGTCTGGAATCTTGGATTACTAATTGGTGGAATACGAAAGAATCCGAAATTTTCTTGAATACTATTCAAGAAAAAACTATTGTAAAGAAATTCCTAGAGTTCGAGGAACTGTTCCTCTTGGATGAAATGCTAAAGGAATACTCGGAAACACATTTACAAAACTTTCGTATCGAAATCTACAAAGCGACCATCCAATTAATTCAGACGAACAACGAAGATAATATCCATACGATTTTTCATTTCTTTACAAATATAATATGTTTCCTTATTCTAAGTGTTTATTCTATTAGGGGTAATCAAGAACTCATTATTCTTAACTCTTGGGTTCAAGAATTTGTATATAACTTAAGTGACACAATAAAAGCTTTTTCTATTCTTTTCTTAATTAATTTCTCTGTAGGATACCATTCGACTGGTCTTTGGGAACTAATGATTTGGTCTGTCTATAAAGATTTTGGATTTACTCCGAATGATCATATTATATCTTTTCTTGTTTCTATTTTGCCAGCCATTTTAAATATTATTTTTAAATACTGGATTTTCCGTTATTTAAATTGTGTATCTCCGTCGCTTTTATCGATTTATGATTCAATTCCATTCCGTGAATGACTGAAAAAAGGACCCACTGATCCAATTCTAAAATTTGTTTAGCTTTTATATAAAAGCTAAACATTCCAAATTTCACTTATTCATTTTCGTTTTACTCGTATTCTTCCTATATTATAGGCAAATAATTGGAGTAAATAGCAGAATCATGGATAGGGAACTGTGCCAGTTCCCTACCTAATCTTATTGTAGAAATTTTCAGGATCAAGGATTGGACCATGCAAACTAGAAATGCTTTTTCTTGGATAAAGAAAGAGATTACCCGATCTATTTCCGTATTGCTCATGATCCATATAATAACTCGAGCACCCATTTCAAATGCATATCCCATTTTTGCCCAACAAGGTTATGAAAATCCTCGAGAAGCTACCGGCCGGATTGTATGTGCTAATTGCCATTTAGCTAATAAGCCCGTAGATATTGAGGTTCCACAAGCGGTACTTCCCGATACTGTATTTGAAGCAGTTGTGCGAATTCCTTATGATATGCAAGTGAAACAAGTTCTTGCTAATGGTAAAAAGGGGGCTTTGAATGTAGGAGCTATTCTTATTTTACCAGAGGGTTTTGAATTGGCCCCTCCTCATCGTCTTTCGCCCGAGATTAAATAAAAGATGGGTAATTTGTCTTTTCAAAGCTATCGTCCCACAAAAAAAAATATTCTTGTGATAGGCCCCGTTCCTGGGAAAAAATATAGTGAAATTACCTTTCCTATTCTTTCTCCAGATCCTGCTACTAAGAGAGATGTTTACTTCTTAAAATATCCTCTATACGTAGGCGGGAACAGGGGAAGGGGTCAGATTTATCCCGACGGAAGCAAAAGTAATAATAATGTTTATAATGCTACAGCAACAGGTGTAGTAAACAAAATAATACGAAAAGAAAAAGGTGGATACGAAATAACGATAGTAGATGCATCAGATGGACGTGAAGTGGTTGATATTCTACCGCCAGGACCAGAACTTCTTGTTTCAGAGGGTGAATCTATCAAACTTGATCAACCATTAACGAGTAATCCTAATGTGGGTGGATTTGGTCAGGGGGATGCAGAAATAGTGCTTCAAGATCCATTACGTGTCCAAGGTCTCTTGCTCTTCTTGGCATCTATTATTTTGGCACAAATCTTTTTGGTTCTTAAAAAGAAACAATTTGAGAAGGTTCAATTGTTCGAAATGAATTTTTAGGAATTTGAATTAATCAACATATTAAGCTGGTAAAAAGAACTCCATTTTTGTTGATAAATTCTGTAAACACCCTTGGTTCTTTCTAGTTTTTGTAGATATACTATATTTAGAAAATTCCTTGTACCGTAGAATTAGTTCAGTCATAGTATGTATATTGTGAAGAAGACTATTTGGTTCTTGGTTTTTTTTTCAACTGCACAATTAATTCGAACCATATGATTATGTAGCTGTTTTCGGATTTTAATGTTCTAGAAATCCTCTAATTTCTATTGTTTTAGAATTAACTCGATACTAAACCTAAAAAAATAGGTAGGTACAGAATATTAAGTAAAGTAGAAATTAGACAAAGGGAAAACAGGATTCTAGGATGGATAATTTGTCTTTTCCTAGAGTCCTCTTATTGTTTATGTCGAAATAGATAGTGAAGGAATGAAAGCGGGAATTGAATTCACCAAATACAACTTTCTTAATTAACTTAAAAAAAACAAAATAGAATCATGAGTCTATATTAGAAATATATTTCTATTCCATTTCCATTCTAAGAAAAAGAAAACTCTTTCTTTGGGGTAATCTATAGTAAAAGAATTGAATAGGCTCTTTTCCAATTGTTTTAGAGAACGAATCGAGATACAATAAGGATTAGATCCGATGGAACGAACAAATGCAAATAAGAGTATGCAAAAGAATCTATCTTGATTCTTTATTTTTTACTTACTAAAATGGGGGGGGGGGGGGGGGGGGGGGGAAAGAAAACATAGTTCCTACCTATTAGTAGGATTCATTACCTTACTACTTCTAAGTATATTTTTTATTTATGCTTTCAATTTTTCAATTCTACTCCAAATCAGATAAGAACTTGCTATATGTTCTAATTGGATGTTTCGTCAATGGTGTTAGGACGGAATGGAATCCTTTTTTGACTCTGTACCAGCGATTCCACTATTATTAGAAGATATTCTCCAATTTTTAGTGAAAAACTAAAAGAATACAAGAAAAATAAGTAAACAATAAAAAAAGAATTAATAAAAGAATTTCTTCATATTGATCATATTGATATAGATAGGAGACATAATTGACATGGATATAGTAAGTCTTGCTTGGGCTACTTTAATGGTAGTTTTTACATTTTCCCTTTCCCTTGTAGTATGGGGAAGAAGTGGACTTTAAAGGTAATACTAATTGAGTTAAGGGATCAAACTGTCTCAATTGTTTTATAGCTGAGTTCTTCCAGTTTTGAACTATTTGAGTTATTTTATTAATACTAATTAATGAAATGCAATTCTATATGGATTTAGAAATTCTCTTGTATTGCTTCCAGTGGTGTAATATATTCCATGTATATATCTTATTGAAAAAAAAAACTCTTTGAATCAAACAAATATTTAAATTGTTGCCATCTTGATATCCCGGGAATCAAGATAATTGGAAACGGATTCCGATTCCATTTAATCTATTTAAATTTTGGAATACTAAAAGATTCTTTATTTTTATTTATTAGTTACCGGGATTCTGATAAAGAATCTGAAATCTAAAAATGAAACTAAGAAGAATAAAAATGGCGTTGCTTTTGAATTATTTTAGATTGATTGGAACCAATACAAATAGAATAGATTTAGATGAAATAAAGAAAAATGTGGACGCCATGGAATTTACATTCCATATATATCTATAGATCGATATCCATATATCCATATGAAAAGAAAATGATAAATTGGTTCCTCCATAGGAACTCTTTTTTTTTTTTAGTAAAACATTCTATTTTTATCCTACTCCTACCGTAATAGAGAATATAGTAGAAAGAAATAGATTTGATTTCTTTCTACTATATGGTTAA